TCCTAATGTTACCTTTTAGTGGCAATTTCAAGATGTTTTCCCCCCAGGAGTGGCACTTAAACTCTCCCCCCGGTACCCTCGCCACCGTGACAACTCACAGATTACAGGAAACAGGCCCAGAGAACTTGGGAAATAAATTAAAATAAAATAATTAAAATCTTTCAAATACTTTTAAGCGTTTGCGCTCGCCTTCCTGCCTGCCTTTTGGGAATACTCTATTGGTCCATTATTCAGCCAGGCAAGTTCAATCCAGCACAAATAAAGTATTTTAAATTATTTCAAATAGTATTTGTACCCAGGTCAGGTACAGAGCTGCCATTCCTTTGGTTGGTTTTCTTTCGCCCTCTCTCCCCCTTTCTTTCTCTCTGTGCTGATGTGTTTTGTAATTGAGGAGATCAGTCAGTGGAGGCCTTTTGGGGGCTGCTCCCCAACTCATTACCAGATGTTGGGAGGTCACTGCCGTTTACACACACACACACACACACACACACACACACACACACACACACACACACACACACACACACACACACACACGCACACACACACACACACGTGAAATAAACAGTCAAGAGAATAGAAAGCAACAAAGTGGATACATTCATATGGACAAATTCACTTGGTTGGTGCAGGTGAAGAACCTTGATATTTCACTGTATTTGATTGAAGCTGTGCTGTACAAATCAAATGAATTATAATATTGTATAGTGCAGTGACAACAATGGTGGTGTTCTTTCACTTGGTCAAGGTGGAGGTCAAAGTGTTTCTAGATATGAATAACAACACTTGAGCTTTTACACAACCGCCCTGTCTGAAATGATTTAACAAAAACAAACTTAAAGTAAAAAAACGTACACATTGTCTAATATCCTGCGTCGTATTCAATATGTAGCTAACTGACCAAACTGTACACTCTTTGGCTGTTAATGTTGTGATATCCACAACCATCACCCCATATTTTTCACAAACTCATATCCTCTACATCTAGTCTAACTTTTATTTTTCAGTCCCTATTGCTTTGATAGATGCCATATTTATTCATATCCTCTCTTATCAAAGATAAATGAAATACCACCTTCTTTCTGCCTGACAGGCAGTGTCATCTGATAATGTGAGAATACATGAGCAGGTTTCTGAACAGGAATCTGATAAGGATGTTTGTAGAAAACCTGTTGGGGAAAGTTTGTTATATACCTCTGTTTTGGGCTTCTGTGTTATTCGCTAAACAGGTTGTGCCCTCTTTACTTAAAGGATTGTTCATGCAAGGATATAACCGTACTATATTGCTAAATATTGTAATCGCAAACCCACAGATACACACACTCCCTCTTTGAAGGGAATGGAAAAAATATATTATTTGAAAAGTACCAATATTTCAACTTACTGACAGTTGAAATGACAGCTTGCCGCTCTTGGTTGATGGAGGTTTATAAGTGTGTAGTGTTAAAAGGCCTCAGCCTGATTGCGATATGCTGAGATAATATATAATTCCATTATTCACACAAACATTCCATTGTGAGTACATGAAAACCTTTCGATGGAGTTCAAATAACCGCAACACACCTCAAGTCAGTATTTGACCCTTGGAGTCACCTTAAATCAAGTCCAGCAACCTTAGACCACAGTGTGGACCCTGAACGGTTACAGTCCAACACAGAGTGATGATTATCCAATCTCCTCCAATAGCAGAGCAGCTTCTTCTTCATGGGAACCGTAGTGCCAAGTCTCTGTGGTAGTGTTCCAAATAAATATACATTCTTATAAGGCAGTGTTCCATGTCGCACTGGACAAAAGGATCAGGTGGAAAATCCCTTTACTAAGATGGAGATTGTGAAACGGGGGAGAGTGTGGAGAGAAGTGTCAGAGAGAAGCACAGTATGTCGGAAATCCTAGTGGCGGAAAAGCAGTACTGCAGCTCCTGATCTACTCAACAGTTACAGTTAGCACCATTGTCTCCCTCCCGCCTACCCCCTATTTCACCTCAGGACTGCTTCCGAAACGTGAAGATGTCTCTGGTCTTAGAGCCTCTCTTGCCCTCGGGGAGTGGGGTGAGGTAGGGTGAGGGGGAGGGCGACGGGGAGGCCGAGGGCTGGGGGATGGCTGTGCCTCCATAGGGGCAGCTCTGGGAGTCAGGGTGCTTCCCGGAACACTCCACGGCCGGGATGTAGCGACTGTCCCACATCCCTGGACCGCACAGCTTACACAGGTCATGGAGGCTGCACGGGATTCTGCGTAACAGACGGAACTGGTAGAGTAGACTACGGGCCTGGTAGTAGGAAGGGTGGGTGAAAGAGAGGAAGAGAAAGAGAGAGAGAACGTAAGAGAGGGTCAAGGAGAGCAGTAGAGAGAAGAAATGGAGAGAAAGAAAGAGAGCATGTGAGAGAGCAAGGGAGTGGAGGAAGGGAGTGGCACAGTATGAGAGAAAGATTAAACATGAGGAAAACGCGTACAAAAGGAGGAAATAGAAGCTATACCTCAAGACTTGCAAAACAGCTAACAGGATCACACTTAGTATCATGTAGATTTGAATAGCATTTGACAAAATCAATAGCTCCTTCAGATGTGGAAGAACATAGTCTAACACAGCCAAAATCAATTAACATGATTTAATTTAAACTAAAAAGGGCTGAGCTGTTCACAGACACAGACATATCAAATCTGATAGGGGTTCTAAAACAGTCATGACACCTGCATGCTAAAATGTGCTGTTGCTGCAGCAGCAGTACTAACATGGCATCCATAAACATGAGGAGAAGACAGAGACACACTACCGGCCATGACTCATAAATCCTCAACACGGCAGGATCACACCAAGTATTTCAAGGCTCCTTGAGGGCTGGGTAGCAAGCAACAAGGACTATTATGCTTTGTTGTATCACAAACTCCATTCCTTTTAAATCCATTCTGCACAGTCGATGAGTGTACACTGAGGGGATGAGTTAAGAAGTAAACAACAACCATAGTATGCTAACTAGAGGGTAAAATGCTAGTGTTGCATAAAATGCTAGCATAGCATGAGGTAAAGTGGCATGGAGTAGCGCATCGTCATGCTAAAGGCTAACTGCTAGCGTTACCTTGCGCAGCACCAGCTCCCCGTTCATGTGCATGGAGAGGTTGCTGAAGTGGAGCAACATCTGGTCAGTGGCTAACTGCTGCTCCGTCACGTCATCGCCGTACAGCACGATGATGGCCACACACACGAACAGATGGAAGTAGTCCGTCTGAGGGAGTGATAGTGTTAATGACAAAGTACATTTACACTTAACTGTGGAGAGCCTGCCTACAGTACAGTGGTTGTGTGTGGTTGTGTCTACATCCAACTCTAATCTCCATAACTAGTGGGTTGTATGGTTATACCTATACCCGGCTATAAACTCCTAACATTGTTACACACAGTTGTTAATACATATTATTACACACATTGTTTGACATTGGTGTATGTATGCCAATGTTGTGTTTGATATTGCTCTGTGTAAACCAATCCCATGTACAACATGATGATGTTGCTGTGCGTATGCTGATGTAAAGTTGTGTACCTGGTAGTGTGCCCAGCAGGCCTCCCACATGCGCAGGGCCTCTGTGTCGGGGAACTCCCGTTTGAAACAGAGTAGGATCCAGCGGTGACAGAACAGCAGCTGTAGCCCATCCTCCCCCAGCTGGGTCAGGTGCTGGTGGAACCGGGGCAGCATCAGACGCAACAGCTCCCTCAGGTACATCTGGAACAGGGGAGAGAGATGGTTAGATGGTAGAGAGAGAGAGAGAGAGAAAGAGAGAGAGAAGAGTGTGTGTGTGAGAGAGAGAGAGAGAGAGAGAGAGAGAGAGAAAAGGAAGAGGTATATTGGGTGTGAGTGAGAGAGAGAGAGAGAGAGAGAGAGGAGAAAGATAGAGAGAGAGAGAGAAAGAGAGAAAGATAGTGTGTGTGTAATAAAGTGAGAGAGAGAGAGAGAGAGAGAGAGAGAGAGAGAGAGAGAGAGAGAGAAAGACAGAGTGTGTGTAATAAAGTGAGAGAGTTACCAGTTGTCTCTCCATGTCCTCGTCGCGGGGAGAGCTGATGAAGATGGTGTTCTCCATCAGGCCTACGAAGCACCAGAACGTGTCGCTCTCGTCCTGCACCTCGGTCAGCAGGGGAGCCACCAGGTCAGACATGCCCTGGCAGTAGCCCATCTCTGGGTTGAACACTGCGTAGTTCAGCAGCACACACCTGGAGGAAGGGAGGAACACCACCACAGACAATATCAAGATATCAAGTCATACATATTACCTCATACTAAGTCCTACATACAAAGTCTTACTAACCCATCACACTAACCAACAGATCATATAGATGTTTAGACACTGTCGTTAAAACAATCAATTAGATCAAATCAAATTGTATTTTTCACATGCTTCGTAAACAACAGGTGTAGACCAACAGTGAAATGTTTACTTCTAACCCCAACAATGCAGAGAGAAAAATCGAGAAATAATAACTCAAGGAATAAATATACAATGAGTAACGATAACTTGGCTATATACATGGTGTACCAGTACCAAGTCAATGTACAGGGCTAAGAGGTAATTGAGGTAGGATATGTACATATAACTAGGAATAAAGTGACTAGGAAACAGGAGAGATAATAAACAGTAGCAGCAGCGTATGTGATGAGTCAAAATAATTAGTGCATAAAGGGTCAATGCAGATAGTTAAATAGTTAACCAATGGCTACCCGGACTAACTATTTAGCAGTCTTATGGCTTGGGGGTAGAAGCTGTTCAGGGTCATGTTGTTTCCAGACTTGGTGCATCGGTACCACTTGCCGTGCGGTAGCAGAGAGAACAGTCTATAACTTGGGTGGCTGGAGTCTGACAATTTTTAGGGCCTTCCTTGGACACCGCCTGGTATAGAGGTCCTGGATGGCAGGAAGCTCGGCCCCAGTGATGTACTGGGCCGTACACACTACCCTCTGTAGCGCCTTGCGGTCGGATGCCAAGCAGTTGCCATACCAGGCGGTGATGCAGCCAGTCAAGATGCTCTCAATGGTGCAGCTGTAGAACTTTATAATGATCTGAGGGTCCATGCCAAATCTTTTCAGCCTCCTGAGGGGGAAGAGGCGTTATCGTGCTTTCACGACTGTGTTGGAGTGTGTTGACCATGATCATTCCTTAGTGATGTGGACACCAAGGAACTTAAAGCTAATTAAGACTATGGCATTAGAACTTAGAGTAAGCGAATGAATAAAACAAATATGAAAAGTGGTGAGATAATATTAGGCCATAATAATACATGAGAGTTCTAACCTCTCCCACCACTACTCTACTTGACCCAGTTACTTTGACCAAAACTGAGATCCAGCCATGAGTCACTTAACAAACAGCCTGGTTTCAAAACCTTTAGAGCCTCATTTAGGAAGCTATTAGCTGTAAGTATGCATCAGAAGTAGTGTACTAAGAGCTTAGTGGGAGTCAATAAAGCATGAAAGTCATTAGCTAGCTTCCCCCAGGGTTCACAATATGATATTCATGTAGAATATTACCTCCTGTGCACTGGACTATGGGATAGGAAAGATGATGAGGAATTGAAAAGGTGAGGAAGAAATGGAGGAGAGGAGAGTGAGAAAGAGAGGGAAGAGAGGAGAGAGTGAAATATAGAATAAAGAGTGACAGAGATAGAGATGAGAGGAAAGAGAGAAAGAGGAGTGGCAGGGGATAGAAGGTGTAAGATTGAAAGAGCAGAGAGAAGAGAGAGTAAGAGAATAGGGAACGAAAGAGGGAGAGACCAGACAGAGAGGCCAGCTGTCCTCACCTCATGATCTCCACATTGGGGTTGTTCTCTCCCCTGAAGAAGTGGTTGCTGCGGTCTGTTCTCACCACGTCCTTATCCACGGTGAACTGAACCTTCCTCCAGAAGTCACTGTGCTCCTCTGGACTCATAGATAACCTGGGGATGGCAGGGACACACAGGGAGGAAGCGGTTTTAAACTGGGTTAAATACTGGGGCTATGCACTAATGTCAACCAAACTTGAGGGCAGTTCCGCAACTTCAAAAAGTTACTTTTAATTGAACCCTTGATAGGATGTCAGGACAAGGGTAGGGTGAGGATGTTGAGGCACTTGAAACCACTTAAACAACCTATGATCTAACCCTAACCCCCTCCCATCACCCTCTGGCTGAGAACCTGAACAGTGAGGACCTGACCCCTACCCTAACGAGCAGAGCAGAGGGGATTTAATTAACACTATTTGTTTTCCATTGAGCCCCGCCAGGAACAATAACACCAGGCGTGATGCAACTTCACGCAACTGTTTACTTTCTGGGGCTGTGTTTGTGTCTGCCTCTCCCTCGGCGTCTCCTCCCTCTCACTCCTTCTCTCTCCCAGTCCCTCGTTCCCTCTCTCCCAGTCCCTCGTTCCCTCTCTCCCAGTCCCTTGTTCCCTCTCTACCTCCATGCCTCACCCTCTCGCTCTTCTTCCTTTCTGGAGAACAGTCATCAGCTGTACCTGGTCCTGCTACCAGAATCCCCTAGTCATGTAACTCAACATTAACATTAGCATGTAAGACCACAAAGACATCAGACCTTCTAGAAAATAGACGAGTAAACTGAATCAACTCGCCACAACCCTCTTCTCCTCCAGTGTTTGTTCAGAACAGGTGTATTTGGACATTCCTCTCCTCTCAAGCAGGATCCTCCATTTTTAACATCTTCAACAGTACTGGCTACAGCACAGAACAGAACATCAAACAAGCAATAATTGATTCTTCAAAATGTAATTTATGACCATCTGAAACAAAATATAAATAATCTAATGTTACATTTCCATATATAACTAATTGATTTAATTAACAGGGGCTGGTCTTTAGTCAGGATCACAAAGAGATGATTCTAAGGATGTCATACATGTTCATGATAAGTCTTATTTAAGCAATAAGGCCCGAGGAGGTGTGGTATATGGTCAATATACCACGGCTAAGGGCTGTTCTTATGCACGACGAAACGCGTAGTGACTGGACCCAGCCCTTAGCCGTGGTATATTGGCCATATATCACAAACCCCCGAGGTGCCTTATTGCTATTATAAACTGGTTACCAACATAATTAGAGCAGTAAAAATAAATGTTTTGTCATGCCCGTGGTATACGGTCTGATATACCACGGCTGTCAGCCAATCAGCATTCAGGGCTCGACCCACCCAGTTTATAAAAGTTATTATACCTGCATCATAATGCATTATATCTGCAGGCTTTAAGGAAAGTGTTACCAGTGCCACCACCTCTATAAGGCAGAGACTGTAGTTCCAGGGTCTTAATGATGAGCCAGTGGCCCCTGGAGGCTCAGTCAAGTGTTTTTCTAACAGCCACATCAGAGGAGGAATAGAGCATCTAATTGACTGGTTTGGATTAGGTCTTCTGATGTATTCAAAAGGTTAATATGCCATACCGCTGAAGACTGGCCAATTATCATATTAATTCTGTGCACTCGTGCACACATGCACACTGTGTGGAGGCTTAGGTAGCCTAGTGGGTAAGAGCGTACAGCCAAGTATCCGAAAGGTCGCTGGTTCGAATATCCAAGCCGACTAGGTGAAACATGTGCCAATGTGCCCTTGAGCAAGGCACTTAGCCCTAATTGCTCCTGTAAGGTGCTCTAGATAAGACATCTGTTAAATGACAAAAATAAAAAAATGGAACGTTTTGGAAAAATAAAGAGGATTAGGGACAGACACACAGACAGGTAACGCTGGGAGGTTAATGTAAACTCTGACTAGTTGCACCCTTTACTCTCTTTTAGTGTGTGAGCGTGTGTGGTGTGTGGTGTGTGGTGTGTGGTGTGTGGTGTGGGGTGGTGGTGTGGTTGGTGGTGGTCAATGATGTGGGTGTGTGTTGTGTGGTTGTGTTGGTGGTGCATGGTGGTGATGGGGTGTGTGTGGGGTGATGTGTGTGTGATGTGTGGTGTGTTGGTGTGTGGTGGTGTGTTGGGTGTGTGGTGTGGTGTGGTGATGGTGTGTGGTGAGGTGTGTGATGTGTGGTGTGGTGTGTGTGTGTGGTGTGTGGTGTGATGGTGGTGTGTGTGGTGTGTGGTGTGTTGGTGGGTGTGTGGTGATGGTGTGTGGTGTGTTGGGTGGTGGGTGTGTGTTGGGTGATGGGGGTGGTGATGTGGTGTGGGTGTGGTTGTGATGTGGTGGATGTGTGGTGTGTGGTGGTGGTGTGTGGTGGTTGATGTGGGTGGTGGATGATGTGGGTTGGTGTTGGTGTGGGTGGTGTGTGGTGTGTGGTGCATGGTGTGTGATGTGTGTGGTGTGTGGTGTGTGGTGTGTGGTGTGTGGTGTGCTGGTGTGTGGTGCATGGTGTGTGGTGTGTTGGTGTGGTGTGTGGTGTGTGATGCATGGTGTGTGGTGTGTTGGTGTGTGATGTGTGGTGTGTGATGCGTGCGTGCGTATCGAGCTGTAGAATATGATTTGATCAGCGTTTACATGTTGTTTCCCAACAGGCCTGTTAATTTACATCCAGCACTCCCATAACACGTTCTGTAAGTGTGTCTATTGATTGCTCCATTTGCAAAGTGTGTGTGTGTGTGTGTTAATAGTTAGCAGGATATGGCTTGGTGCCACCTTATTCCTTTGGATAAATAAACCACATATGTTCCAGTGTTATGAATGTCCTTCTTACATGGAATAGAAATACAATACAACTTTATTATGGTTAGAACTGACATTTTTCTTCTGCCCCCCCCCCCACACACACAGACACAGACACACACAGACACACACACGGTCAGTAGCAGTGCAGCTCCCCTGGATGGAGAGACAGTTATAGTAAACCCAGAAACATCCTGTTTGCACCCCACAGCCACCTACCTCCTCTGCTGGATGCCGTGGTACTCTGAGCGTTTCTGCAGTCTCCAGGCCTCTCTCTCCTGGGAGGAGGAGTCACAGCTGTAGTAGTGCAGTAAGAAGGGCCACACCTCCCCGCGGATGGATGGGTCGACGCCCCCAAAGAAGATGGCCTGAGGGGGGGAAAGAGAGGACATGATCAGCCTGGGTAGTAGAAGTCTAGAATTTAACAATGTTAGCTACAGTAACTACACCAGGGTTCCCCAACTGGCGGCCCAGGGACGAATTTGGCCCGCTGGTGGTTTTATTTTTTTGTCATTTTCATTGTTGGACATAAGACTGTAAAAATACCAGGAAATCAGCCCCAAGTTATTTTAATTTAAGATATCTGTACACACACATACACACACACATAACTGGTGATTTGAACAATGACCGTTCCACATCTGCTGTGTATCTGAAGCTGCCCACTGACTCGGTCAGTCTTCCAAGGTCTTATCACAGCTACACACTCACCTTGCGTAGCTTGTACTCCTCCTCCACCTGTCCGTTGTGGTTGAGGTGTCGGAGCCAGGTGGTGACGTCCAGGCGGCGGTACAGACGTTCCTCTGGGTGGGTCTCAGCGGACGGCAGGGTGGGCCTCCGGATGGAGAACTGCATACATGACTTCTCATCCACTACCTGGAAAAGAGAGGGAGGAGAGAGAGAGCGAGATAGATGGGTGGGGGGCGGAGAGAGAGTGAGAGAGATGGGTAGGGGGCAGAGAGAGAAAGAGAGAGCAAGAGAGATGGGTGGGGGGCAGAGAGAGAACGAGATATATCAAAGAACTAGCCATTATGCTAACACTGAAATAACATATCTAGCCACAATAATAACGCCGAAGTAAGATGGTATCTAGCCACAATGCTACCATGTCTCACCTGGTCTTTGAGCTGGGTCTCTCTGCAGCACTTCCACTGTTGGAAGACCTCAGCCAGCTTGTCCAGACCTGTGTGGTGGAAGTGGAGGACCTTATACTGGCTCTCCCTGCTGGCGATCACCAGCTGACCACTGTTACACGCCTCATCACTGGAATCACAACATACCGTATGTCAAACATACAGAAACACTGGCTGAAAGAAATACACATACATTATTCCTGCACTGCTCAAACATGGCTTATAACATATACAGCAAACTCTCAGTTGGAGAAGAATTTCAGGGGAATTTCCTGGATTGTCAAATACAGTACTTTTCTACATACATATAGGCCTACTTTTTGAAGTGACTTCTTAATTTTTGTAATCGTTTGAGTTGGACTCATTGATAATCTTCCCCTTTACCCTCACAGGCAAAACAACACAACTGTACACAGGTGAGTTATTATGAGAGTAAAAGTCCGTTCCTGAGGTCATAAAGTATCCAGACAACATGACCCCCCGTGACCCCTGGCTGACCTGAAGAAGAGGCGGAGCGACCTCATATGCCCCAGGTCAACCCGGAACACTCCCCCCAGCTGCTCCAACGCCAGCACCTTCTGCTGCTCCTCCCACCGCATGCCCTGCGATTGGCTGTTGTTCTCATAGGGGGCGTGGCTGTCCAGGCTGGAGGCGGAGCTAGCCGAATGGGTCATGGACTCGTCGCACAGCTCCCTGAGAAAAGGAGGGGGGAGAAGTTGGAGTTGGTTGTAGGATCAGATTAATTTACACCCACCCGATGGTAACCATAACTATTAGTGGTAAATGCAAAACAGACCTTAGATCAGCGTCTAAGGGAAACTGATGGGACCGTGATTTTGGACAATCATTGCATTGCACACAAATGTCGTTCTAACAATACATAAGCCTAGATATCGCAAACAGGGTCCAGAGGGCTATGTACTGTCTGTGACTAGTGTTGAATATCAGGAGTCTATTTACTGCCTTGTTTTATGTCCTGGGATTGTGCTGGCTTAGACCAGGGGACAGAGAATGAGAAGAATGCATGGAGGTTACTGTGCAGGGAGGAACCACACATGCCACACACACACACACACACACACACACACACACACACACACACACACACACACACACACACACACACACACACACACAGTGCATACAACAGAAACTGTGCACACAATACACACAAATCACAGCATCTGCCTTCCAATTTCCCCCGTCCTTCCCCCGTGGCCACTGTGTTTTTCCCGGCACCGTAACCCAAACTGGGAGTTCCAGACACACACACACACACACACACATAAAACAACTGGGTAAGGGGGAAATCAAACACAACTAACAACCAAAACGTACCCCAAGCCATGTCTCGGAGTCTGAGAGCCAGACCTGAGAAGCACAGTGACGTATTAATTGCAAATGTGGCCAACTTTAAAAACAGGTCTAAGAAACACAAGTCAGTCATATGGAAAAACATTTACATTGAAATGCTCTTTCCTTGTATGCTGATGGAACAGTATTTCTCTAAGTCCATAATAAATACAAACAGCCTATTGGTCCCATGAGAGGAGCCAGAGCTGGTCAGTTTCAAACTAAATCAATGGCTGTGAATTGATCATGTCTCGGGTTGTCACATACCTGTATATGGGAAAGTAATATGTGAGATTGATAGAGACAGCAAGGTTTCCCCTCATTGGTCAGATTTACTGCCCTCTGGATCATGTATCACATGTATCACATCATAAACCAGGTCCCAGTTCTGAGTTCTGGGACACTACAGCACAGAGAAGTGGGGGGATTCTGTCTGGCTCAATCTAAACCTAGTCATAGCAGACCTGGTTCAAATACTATTTGAAATCTTTCAAATAATTTGAGTGTTTACTTTAGCCTGTCTGGGGTGCTAAATGGGCGGTCTTTGCACGTTTGGGACTTGTCTATTGGATCCATTGCAACAGGAAAGCTCAATCAAGCCCAGCAAAAGCATTATAAATTATTTTTGTAAGTATTTGAACCCAGGTCTGAGTACTAGGCCTGTTGTATTACATTGAGGTGCTGACAGAACATACAGAAACCAAACGTCTCACACTTAATGGTCTGCTGTAATAACACCTGACAACATTTGATTGATTAAAACAGTCTCAATAAACAAATATTTAAACTGCGCCACATGCTAACTCTACCGTAACTCTCATAGGGATTTTGCTAAGCTAACAGTCTCTATGGTCTTTCCAGTTAACTAAGCAGCATTAACAGAAGGTGTTGAACATGGACCCGTTTTAAATGTTGTCTACTTAATCAATGAAGCGAAGCTAGCTTACGCTAACATAACAGTGGGTGCTTACGGAGAGGTTTTAAATGTAATCTACCTCATCAGTGGATCTCAATTAGCTAATGCTAAATGTTCACACTAACAGCTGATGCTGTTCTCTATAGCGACTACACTATAGCCTATGTATACAGTGTGTTATACACAGACTATACACTGAGTGTACAAAACATTAGGAACACCTGCTCTTTCCATGACATAGACTGAATCCAGGTGAAAGCCATGATCCCTTATTGATGTCACTTGTTAAATCCACTTCAATCAGTGTAGATGAAGGTTTTTAAGCCTTTAGACAACTGATACATGGATTGTGTATGTGTGCCATTCAGAGGGTGAATGGGCAAGACCAAATATTTAAGTGCCTTTGAACAGGGTATGGTAGTAGGTGCCAGGCGCACCGGTTTGTGTCAAGAACTGCAATGGTGTTGGGTTTTTCACACAACAGTTTCCGGTGTGTATCAAGAGTGGTCCACCACCCAAAGGAAATCCAGCCAACTTGACACAACTGTGGGAAGCATTGGCGTCAACATGGGCCAGCATCCCTGTGGAACGCTTTCGACACCTTGTAGAGTCAATGCCCCGACAAATTGAGTGTGGGTGCAACTCAATATTAGGAAGGTGTTCTTAATGTTTTGTACACTCAGTACATGTCAACAGCATGTTTTGATGGAAAAGCTGATTTAATGGCATGTCCCTCGTCAGGGGAGCTACAGCTACAAGCTGGGGTGAGACCAGACTGCCCACAGCACTCTGCACCCCACCTACGTGATGCTCTACCCTGGGGAAAGAGCTCTGGTGTCACCCTGAGAACCAGAGCCTGGGGCTAAACACCCACAGAGACCCACGGTCTCTAAACTCAATGAATAATGTAGCTGTTGAGCAAGTAGAAGAGACTAAACTTCTTGGTGTTCTATTAGATTGTAAAATGTCCTGGTCAAAGCATATTTATTCTATTGTTGTAAAGATGGGGAGAGGTCTGTCTGTGATAAAGAAATGCTCTGCTTTTTTAACATCACATGCAACCAAACTAGTCCTGCAGGCTCTGGTTTAGTCGCATCTTGACTATTGCCCAGTTGTATGGTCCGGTGCGACAAAACAAATACCTAGAAAAGCTGCAGCTGGCCCAGAACAGAGCAGCACGTCTGGCCCTCAAATGTACACGGATGGCCAATGTCAATAACATGCATATCAGTCTCTCCTGGCTCAGAGAGGAGGAGAGATTGACTGCATCACTGTCGATCGTTGTAAGAAATATTGATGTGTTGATAGCACCGAATCGTCTGTTCAGCCAGTTAACACAGCTCAAAAACCCAGTCCCCAAGTCAGAACAGAGGCTGGGAAAATGACTACATGGAATTTTCTTCTACCCTCAGGTAACTCAGGCAAGAAAAAAAATCTTTAAAAAGAAAACTGATAAAACACCTCAAGGAACAACGCGGACTGTGGAGACGCATACAAACACCGTTTTCTTTAGTCGTTTAAAATGTAGTTTTACATTTGTGTTGCTGTTCTTATCTATTAGTGTTCTGCATTTTGTAATGTTCTATGTTTTGTGTGCACCTCAGGAAGAATAGCTGCTGCTTTTAACAGCTAATGGGGATCTGAATAAAATGCATTCAACAAAAATAGAAAACGCAACATGCAACAATTTCTAAGATTTTAGTGAGTTACCGTTTATATCAGGAAATCAGTCAATTGAAATAAATTCATTAGGCCCTAATCTATGGATTTCACATGACTGGGAATACAGATATGCATCTGTTGGTCACAGATACCTTTAAAAAAAAAGGTAGGAGCGTGGATCAGAAAACCAGTCAGTATCAGGGGTGACCGCCATTTGCTTCATGCAGCGCGACATATCTCCGTCGCATAGAGTTGATCAAGCTGTTGATTGTGGCCTGTGGAATGTTGTCCCACTCCTGTGCGAAGTTGCTGGATATTGGCGGGAACTGGAACATGTGGTACGGTAATCAGAGAATCCAAACATGCCATTTGCGGACATTCTAGTCCAAAGCGACTCATATGGTGAACATTTTTTATGCTTCCAGGAGTGATCAACCTCCTTGCGTTACAAGCGCCGTGCTACTCAGCTGAACTGAGTGAGGCGTGGATGACATGGCAAGAAATGGCACAGGATCTGCTGTGGTACACGTGCATTAATGCCATGAAATGCAGTTGCCGTAGTAAACCCAAACATGGCTCAGTCGAGTGACATCGCATGGTAGCAGGCCATGAAGGACATTTTCAGCTTCCAGGAATTGTGTACAGATCCTTGCGACATGGGGCCGTGCATTATCATGCTGAAACATGAGGTGATGGCGGTGGATGAATGGCAAGACAAGACAATGGCAAGACAATGGGCCTCAGGATCTCGTCATGGTATCACTGTGCATTTAAATTGCCATTGATAAATTGCAATTGTGTTTGTTGTCCGTAGCTTATAACCCCACCGCCACCATGGGGCACTCTGTTCACAACGTTGACATCAGCAAACTGCTCACCCAGTGGCCATCGAAGGTGAGCATTTGCCCACTGAAGTTGGTGACGACGCCGAACTACAGTGAGGACGATGAGCACGCAGATGAGCTTCCCTGAGAAGGTTTCTGACAGTTTGAGTAGAAATTATTTGGTTTCATCAGCTGTCCGGTGGCTGGTCTCAGGCAATCCCGCAAGTGAAGAAGCCGGATGTGGAGGTCCTGGGCTGGCGTGGTTACACATGGTCTGCTGTTGTGAGGCCGGTTGGACGTACTGCCAAAATGTTGGAGGCGGTTTATGGTAGAAATGAACATTAAATTCTCTAGCCACAGCTCTGGTGGACATTCCTGCAGTCAGCATGCCAATTGCACACTTGAGACATCTGTGGCGTTTTGTTGTGTGACAAAACTGCACATTTTAGAGTTGCCTTTTATTGTCCCCAGCACACGGTGCACCTGTGTAATAATCATGCTGTTTAATCAGCTTCTTGATATGCTACACCTGTCAGATGGGTGGATTATCTTGGCAAAGGAGAAATGCTCACTAACAGGGACCTAAACAAATTTGTGCACAAAAGTTGAGAGAAATAAGTATGGAACATTTCTGGGATCTTTTATTTCAGCTCATGAAACCAACACTTTACATGTTGCGTTAATATTTTTGTTCAGTATAAAACATCTAATCAAAACCCTGGGGAGGGTAGGGAGAGGAGGAGAGCTAAAACTAGGTATTCATGATAATTGAATTACCTATGTTTTGGATTCTAACCATTGTAAAGGGCAGCAAGAGGCCTTTAAGATATATTATGAATTTAAAAGTTTTAAAGATTAAGAAAAGTAATAGCAATTTTCTATAAACAGACGCACTACATTCAGTGGTTTAGAATATTGTACTGGAGCAACTAATGGCTAAACCATATAGAGCAGAGTTTCAAAGGGGTGAAACACTAATAGCATTGTGAACACGTATGCGCGCATGCATGCACACACACACACTAGCTACAATACACAGTCTCTCTCACACACCAACATACTGTACTCTCTCGCTCTTTCTTACACACAGATTATTTCTCTCTGCATGATTCCTAGTGACATGTTTCCAGTCCCAGGCCCCTTAACAGTGTCAATTAAAGCTGAGAGCTGTGGTGTTCCAGAGGCAGGCCCGCACCAGACCACTCCTCTAATCCGCCCAGCACAACAACCCCAGGAGCAGGGAGGAATCAAAGAGAGTTTCACACAGACCCAGGGAGGGAGGAAGGGAGGGGGGGAGAAAGTACACGGAGCAAGATTAGCTTAAAGAGAAACATTAGCGAAGGAGAAAGAGATAGAGAGAGAGAGCGAGAGAGAGAGATCGAGAGAGAGCGAGAGAGAAAGGGGGAGGGAGAGGGGATGAAGAAAAGGTTAGAGGCAGTGCAAGAGAAAGCTGCCAAGTCACACACTAAATGGACACACACACGCACACACTTCAAACTCACTGATCCTGGGCTGTGTTTCTGGCCAAATACCTTTGTGTGGAAGCGACCTCTGAGGGATGTATAAAGGAGAATGGCCATAAGGTCAGTACAGCAACATGATAGTGGTTTAGTCCAGATGGTTTAGTTGGTTGGAGCAGAGTGTTGGCAACACCAAAGCTGTCGGTACAATTCCCGCATGGACCACATAATGAATATGCATGCTAACTGCTAACTAAGCTGCTTTAAATTGGATTGCATTTAGTGAAGCTTTCACAGCCCTTTCTCTCCCTACAGAGTGCACACATCCAGCCTTGGTAGGCCGTCATTGTAAATAAGAATTTGTTCTTGCCTAGTTAAATAAAGGGTAAATTATTTTATTTATTTTTAATGCTGTGTAAAGTGTGAACCTCCCCCATTGACAGTAAAAGTACTCTTATCCTCTTCTCTGTGGCTCCACCATGTGGTAGGTTTGGCCTATTACAACTACCTTGATCTGGTGAGAAACATCCATGCTGTCTTGTTGTGAGGTCAGAAATTGGCATCTGGAGTGGGGGTTCAACATTATTCAAGTTTATACCCTTTAAACACATAAAACTGTTGCTGCTCTCTCTCGCTCTTGCTCTTTTTTCTAAACTCTTTTATAAAGTGGTGGGAAAACGATCAAATTGCCAGTTACTTAAAATAAGCATTGGACATTTACGCAAATGGGTTGCAGGTTCTTGTTTGCAATCAGGCAGTCATTTTCAAATATTTATTTAACAAGTTGGATGCTGCTCTACCCAAATAATTGGAAAAGCATTTATCTTATGTGCTTATGCTTAAACCATTTCAATAGGTCTCCATTGCGAGATAAGACACCAATATTCAGCGTCTGAACTGAGAGAGACTGGATTCAATACATACATAAATTATAAATACCATGGAAACTACATCTCCTGTTTCCATTACTTCCCTGCATATCAATAGCTACCTCGCAGAGATAATTCACACAAAATCCAACTGACAATAACTCATTTTTTTCACTAAAACACCCTATTCCTATCGATGTCCAACACAAGTCACAAACAAATGCGTGCACACATAACAGACCTGCGTTCAAATACTGACATCTTTCAAATACTAGTATTTGCATTAACCTGCCTTTTTCTATTGGTTCAATTAGAACATGCAAACACAAATCAAGCCCAGATAAAGTATTTGAAATGATTTAAATTACAATTTCAACCCAGGTCTGTATCATCCACACACACAAACCCCTCCCCAGCTCACCTGCTCTCGTTGTCCAGGAACACAGAGCCGCTGCTCTCAAAGAGGGCCTCGCTGACGGGCGACAGGCAGAAGGGTGAGGAGAAGGTGTCCGAGTCGGAGCCCATGGTGCTGTCCCTGCTCACCTCGTCAGCCGACAGCTCACAGGACCCCTCATCCCCCTCATCCCCCCCAGGCTGGGGCTGCTGCTGCTGGGGAGGAGGGGGCTCTACGCTGGCCTCCAGACCCAGGCTCCCCCCATTCCCAGTTCCGTTCCCGATCCCCTCCTCCTCCTCCCGGTCCTCATCTTCCTCCTGGGCAGGAGGGTGTCGGGAGTGGGGCCTGCAGGTTGGGTTAACATTACAGTGTTACCATAAAATATAATTTTTTCAGATTATGAAATTCAGTTAGATAAAACCAGATGTAAATTAACCACCATCCCTAAACAGTGTTTACCTGTATTACAAAAGTTCAGGCTCAGTTGTCGGGATACAAGCAGTTATCACAATAAAACCAATTATTGCAATAAAACCTGTTATCACGATACAATACGTTTTCATGATAAAACCAGTTACTGCAATCAAATCTGTTATCGCGATACAAGCAGTTATTGCAATATCACCACATACAACTCCATTACGTTCCACTCTCCCCACTCTACCTGCGGGGCCAGCGCCGAGCGTTTCTGCGGACAGGTGAGCTCTCGGGGGTAATGTAGCGCAGGGCCTCCTCATCCTGTCTCTGGATGCGAGAGTTGGGAACCCAGGTCAGGATCAGAGTGGTGCCCAGGCTCTCATCCTTCTCCATGTGCACACACAGGTACCCTGAGGAGAGAAGGGAGGCATGAGGGAGAGGGAGAAACATGGCCGCAAACACACAGGAACACAGGAATGTGAACAAGAACACACACACACACACACACACGCTCACCCTGATGAGATCATATCATCAGAGGATAGGAGACAGGTTGGGAAAGAGAGGAGGACACACACACACACACACACACACACACACGAAAACACAAGCACCGAGGTCACCTGAGAAGATCACATGTACATGTGGGTAGAGTTAAAGGGACTATGCATAAATAATTAACAGAGTAGCAGCAGCGTAAAAAGATGGGGTGGGGGGTGGGGGTGGGGGGGGCAGTGCAAATAGTCCGGGTAGCCAGGACAAAACCTTCTTCCCATGAACCAGAAGTCAGATTGACTCCAGATTTGGTACATCTATATATATCTGGAGTCAATCGGACTTATGGTTCAACCCTACTATATGACACACAGGGAAAGGAAGAGAAGAACAGCAGAGGAATGCTATAGTGATAGCTGGGGCCTGTTCAGGAGGATGTAATGTTACAGAACATTCAGATAGAAATGTATGGTGTAGAACAAATATGATTGTTTGTCAGGAAGAATAGGGAATCGTGTTAGCACTATTCATTACATTTCTGTGACGTTCAGAATAGTTCAGCTCACTGAATACACCCCAGGGTTGTATGCATTAGGCACCAAAAGCAAGAAAATGCACTGAAACAGGAAGGGACTGCATGAACTTGTCCGATAAAAAATCATATTTTCCGTTTTCCGTCGCTAAGATCTTCGCTACGGTGTGCCCTAATGTAGGGGACTCCTAGACAGCTATATACTGTACCTGGGTGGTGTTCGGGCAGGCCCGGCAGGGGCTCGGCAGGGTGCACACACACATTGTTCTTGGAGAAGATGATCTCTCCGTCCAAGCCGTTCCGCGACCCCGCCGACCCTGGGTTAAAGGTCAGGAGGTCTGAGGCCTTGGAGGAGGCGCGTCGCAGGAGCCGACCGAGAGACATCTACACTGACACCAGGACACTGCGCCCATCCTCTGGAGTAGGAGGAGGGGGAGAGGTGAGAGATGGGGAGAGAGGGGGACAGAGGGAGATGGGGGGAAAGAGGAAGGAGAGGGAAAGGAGAGGGTGGGAGAGGGACAGAATCAGGTCAGAATGGAGGAAGTGGGGCACTAGTGTTTTACAGCATAACATTTGCCTATTCAAAGTAACAAATCATATATACAGTATACACTGCCTTCGGAAAGTATTCAGACCCCTTAACTTTTTCAACATTTTGTTACGTTACAGCCTTATTCTAAAATTGATTAAATTGTTTTTTTCCCCCTCATCAAGCGACACACAATACCCCTTAATGACAAAGCAAAAACAGGTTTTTAGAATTTTTTGCAAATTTATAAAAAAATCAAAAACAGAAATATCACATTTACATACGTTTTCAGACCCTTTACTCAGTACTTTGTTGAAGCACCTTTGGCCGCGATTACAGCCTCGAGTCTTCTTGGGTATGACGCTACAAGGTTGGTACACCTGTATTTGGGGAGTTTCTCCCATTCTTCTCTGCAGATCCTCTCAAGCTCTGTCAGGTTGGATGGGGAGCGATTGCTGCACAGCTATTTTCAGGTCTCTCCAGAGATGTTTGATCGGGTTCAAGCCCAGGCTCTGGCTGGGCCACTCAAGGACATTCAGAGACTTGTCCAGAAGCAACTCCAGCGTTGTCTTGGCTGTGTGCTTAGGGTCGTTGTCCTGTTGGAAGGTGAATCTTCGCCCCAGTCTGAGGTCCTGAGTGCTCTGGAGCAGGTTTTCAAATCAAATCAAATTTTATTGGCCACATGCGCCGAATACAACAGGTGCAGACATTACAGTGAAATGCTTACTTACAGCCCTTAACCAACAGTGCATTTATTTAATAAAAAAAGTTAAATAAAACAACAACAAAAAAGTGTTGAGAAAAAAAGAGCAGAAGTAAAATAAAATAACAGTAGGGAGGCTATATATACAGGGGGGTACCGGTGCAGAGTCAATGTGCGGGGGCACCGGCTAGTTGAGGTAGTTGAAGTAATATGTACATGTGGGTAGAGTTAAAGTGACTATGCATAAATAATTAACAGAGTAGCAGCAGCGTAAAAAGATGGGGTGGGGGGTGGGGGTGGGGGGGCAGTGCAAATAGTCCGGGTAGCCATGATTAGCTGTTCAGGAGTCTTATGGCTTGGGGGTAGAAGCTGTTGAGAAGTATATCAATTTACATAAGTAATCAGACCCTTTACTCAGTACTTGTTGAAGCACATTTGGCAGCGATTACAGCCTAGAGTCTTCTTGGGTATGACGCTACAAGCTTGACACACCTGTATTTGGGGAGATTCTCCCATTCTTCTCTGCAGATCCTCTCAAGCTCTGTCAGGTTGGATGGTGAGCGTCGCTGCACAGCTATTTTCAGGTCTCTCCAGAGATGTTCGATAGGGTTCAAGTCCCGGCTCTGGCTGGGCCACTCAAGGACATTCAGAGACTTGTCCCGAAGCCACTCCTGCGTTGTCTTGGCTGTGTGCTTAGGGTCGTTGTCCTGTTGGAAGGTGAACCTTCGCTCCAGTCTGAGGTCCTGAGCAGATTCTGGAGAAGGTTTTCATCAAGGATCGCACTGTACTTTGCTCCGTTCATCTTTCCCTCGATCCTGACTAGTCTCCCAGTCCCTGCCACTGAAAAACATCCCCACAGCATGATGCTGCCACCACCATGCTTCACCGTAGGGATGGTGCCAGGTTTCCTCCAGACGTGACGCTTGGCATTCAGGCCAAAGAGTTCAATCTTGGTTTCATCAGACCAGAGAATCTTGTTTCTCATGGTCTGAGTCCTTTAGGTGCCTTTTGGCAAACTCCAAGCGGGCTGCCATGTGCCTTTTACTGCGGAGTGGCTTCCGTCTGGCCACTTTACCATAAAGGCCTGATTGGTGGAGTGCTGCAGAGATGGTTGTCCTTCTGGAAGGTTCTCCCATCTCCACAGAGGAACTCTGGAGCTCTGTCAGAGTGACCATCGGGTTCTTGGTTACCTCCCTGACCAAGGCCCTTCTCCCCCGATTGCTCAGTTTGGCCGGGCGGCCAGCTCTAGGAAGAGTCTTGGTGGTTCCAAACTTCATCCCTTCAAGAATGATGGAGTCCACGGAGTTCTTGGGGACCTTCAATGCTGCAGAAATGTTTTGGTACCCTTCCCCAGATCGGTGCTACGACACAATCCTGTCTCGAAGCTCTTAGGACAATTCCTTCGACCTCATGGCTCGGTTTTTGCTCCGACATGCACTGTCAAATGTGAGACCTTATATAGACAGGTGTGTGCCTGTTTTCACTTTGTCATTATGGGGTATTGTGTGTAGATTGATGAGGGGGAAGAAAACCTAATTTAATCCATTTTAGAATAAGGCTGTAACCTAACGAAATGTGGAAAAAGGGAAGGGGTCTGAATACTTGCTGAATGCACTTTAAATGACAGAGTGAAAAGAAGGATGCCTGTATAGAATAAAACATATTCCAAAACATGCATCCTGTTTACAATAAGGCACTAAATGAAAACTGCAGAAAATGTGGCAAAGAAATTAACTTTATGTCCTGAATGCAAAGCGTTATGTTTGGGGAAAATCCAACACAACCCATCAGTGAGTACCACTATTCATATTTTCAAGCATGGTGGTTGCCGCATCATTTTATTGGCATGCTTGCCATCGGCAAGGACTAGGGAGATTTTTTGTATTAAAAGAAACGGAATAGAGCTAAGCACAGGCAAAATCCAAGAGGAAAACCTGGTTCAGACTGATTTCCAACAGACACAGAGACAAATTCACCTTTCAGCAGGACAATATCCTAAAACACAAGGTCAAATATACACTGGAGTTGCTTACCAAGACGACATTGAATGTTCCGGAGTGGCCTAGTTACAGTTCTGACTCAAATCTACTTCAAAATCTATGGCAAGAATTGAAAATGGGTGTTTAGCAATGATCAACAACCAACTTCACAGAGCTTGAATAATTTTTTAAAGAATAATGTGCAAATATTGTACAATCCAGGTGTGCAATGCTCTTAGAGACGTACCCAGAAAGACTCACAGCTGTATTCGCTGGCAAAGGTGATTCTAACATGTATTGACTCAGGGGTGTGAATACGTATGTATATGAGATATTTCTGTATTTAATTTTCATTCAAATTTGCTACCATTTCTAAAAACATGGTTTTCACTTTGTCATTATGGGGTATTGTGTGTAGATGGGTGAGACATTTCTTTTTAAATTCAGGCTGTAACACAACAACATGTGGAATAAATCAAGGGATATGAATACTTTCTGAAGCAACGTATATTATCGTTATACAACCATACATGGCAAAGCTAACTCTTTTACAGTTTCAGCTTTCATTTTAAGGCAGTGACAGATATTTGTACTTAAGTTACACTGTGATGTTTGTATAATATTAGTGTGTGTTCTTACCCCGATAAGTCAACCCTGGCATGCAACAAAAATTCACAGTTAGTGTTTTCCTATGCCACGTCAACTATCTTGACTCACACAATTGGCTCTGTTAGTGTAGGTGTGTGTGTGCAAGTGTGTGTCCCACCTTGAATAAACACACACACTACACACACCTGGTCACTCATTCCATGTGAAATCCTAGCCTGTTATTAGGAGCTAACAGATGTCAGCATCCATGGCTATTCTCAACATGTCACACAACTGTGCACTATGACTGGTCTCACGTGCCAGACTCATAGCTTTCACAGTGGCTGATGAAAGAGACTACACTATGACTGGTCTCACGTGCCAGACTCATAGCTTTCACAGTGGCTGATGAAAGAGACTACACTATGACTGGTCTCACGTGCCAGACTCATAGCTTTCACAGCGGCTGATGAAAGAGACTACACTATGACTGGTCTCACGTGCCAGACTCATAGCTTTCACAGTGGCTGATGAAAGAGACTACACTATGACTGGTCTCACGTGCCAGACTCATAGCTTTCACAGTGGCTGATGAAAGAGACTACACTATGACTGGTCTCACGTGCCAGACTCATAGCTTTCACAGTGGCTGATGAAAGAGACTACACTATGACTGGTCTCACGTGCCAGACTCATAGCTTTCACAGTGGCTGATGAAAGAGACTACACTATGACTGGTCTCACGTGCCAGACTCATAGCTTTCACAGTGGCTGATGAAAGAGACTACACTATGACTGTGAACAAAATCAGTTTGCTGTTCACTCCAGTCAACCTTTCTCCTATGACTGGAATTGGCCACTCTTTTGCTACTGGCATATCAGTGTTACTCCATACTGTGTACGTTCCTCTGTGAGACCCTATGATAATGTAGCCTAGTTCCCTATCACTACAGTCTATGGACAAGCTGACCTCTAAACACATTCCCAGTGCCCCACTACTCCTGAATGTGTGGAATGTTCCCTCCTTTTCCTCTTCCTCAGAACCCTGAGTCATGGCCTGTGACCCAAATGGCACCCTATCCCCTATATGGTGCACTACTTTTGTCCAGAGCCCTATGGGCCTAGGTCAAAAGTAGTGTGCTACATAGAGAATAGAGTGCCATTTGGGAGGTAGCCATGTTTACCTCCTCTGATTAACTCTATGCCCCACAACTTCCTGTTATCAGGGCTCCGGGGTGACGTTTCCCCTTGGTAAAGATCTAGGATCAGATTCCCCTCTCCCAATCCTAACCTTAACCATTTGTGGGGGAAATGCAAAACTGACCCAAGATCAGCATCTAGGGGTAACTTCACCCTTCTGCCTTATTAGGACTCGGACAGGAAGTCTTCTACCCCGGAATCCGGGCAAGGCCAGGGAGTATGTACTGTAGGCTGGTCCCAGATATGTGTGTGCCGCCTTGCCAACTGCTATGGTCTTTGAACTGACATTGATCATAGGAGTTGGCAGGACAGCACAAACAGACCGGGTACCAGGCTAGGGAGAGTGAGTGAGGTTCCTAGGAACGATCCTGATGTATAGACAGAGGGAGTTACCCATTGTTGCAAGGAATTTCCACAGAGGAAGACAATCAAAGGTATTGTATTCCGGAGCCATCGGTTTATTTTCTCTACTGAAGATATGGTTCATGAAAATATGGCAACAGAAAACCTCATGAAGAACGTTGTACTACACATTTATGCAACAAACGTATTTATTTGGCCTGGTAACACTTTACAATGATGAAGTTGCTCTCTTAGGCTACCTGTCTAAGAACACTGCATTTACACACTACACTTCAGTATTACAACCATCCTAAAACCACTCTGGCCATAGCGCTGAGCTGCTCACATGGACATTTGCATGGTAACTGCTTACAGAACAAAGCCAATCCATTGAATCGACTTGCAAATGAGCAGTAGTAAACCAGGCTGAACTCACTATACCAGATGTTCAGTGTCAACCATACCCCCCTGGACCTTCCATACCTCAACAGATTAAAGCTACATTTCATAGTCCATGTTTCTGCTTCTGGTCGCCCCAGACAACAGCTATCCCTAACCAGTTGATAGACAGTGATGATCTGCACCAAAACAGGGAAGTTAGAGGTTATTTGGTGGTAAAACAACAGCTATAACCAGTTCTCTGTGTGTGTCCATAGCCTGAGGTTATTCTGGTCAGTATGATCGCAGCAGGGTGAGAAGAGGTCAGAGTGTGATATGATTCCATATTCAGCATGTGACTAAGCAGGGAGCCTGACTGATATAGCACAATGCTCTCTCTCTCGCTCTCGCTCTCGCTCTCTCCTTCCCACCCACCCTCTCTCTCCTTCTTCCATGCTGTCAACACCTCAGTGTGTGAGTGTTCACACATTGCCTTGTCTCCTCCACTATAGCCTGTCACCTCACACTGGTCCTACTGTAGCATTCCAACAATGGAGACAGCTTTCCAGAGAACCTGTTACTCTCCTGTGAGTGTGAAGTCTGCATTCTGTCATTATTTTTTCTGTAGCCATTAATCTCATTTAGTATTTGTCTCCTTCTACCTTGCTGTATGTAGTTGTTTTGTTCAGAAAAACTTCAAACAAAACAGTCCTAAGGATTTTCTGAGAGAAAATGAAGATGTTCTGTTTCTGAGACTACTAAACCTTCCTCAATGAGAATACAGAGTGAGTGTATCACTACAGTAGCCCACTGTGTCCTGCCAGCCACAATGACTATAAAGGCAGAGGGTTCCAGTGCCTCAGATCAGTGGGTTCAAGTTCACGTCCGGGCCACTGTAATAAACTTGTCAGGCTGCTGACATTTGAATAGAGGAGGCTTCCATAATTAACTGCCTCTCCTGTTCATCTGGATTGTGACAACAAACCACTGCCTTGGGGGCAGCTAAAAGAGACTTTAAATAACCAGACTCTCTCAGTGAGTTGCAATCCCTCATGCAGACTAACTTCCATGAGCAAAGAGTCAATAGGCTATGTATCAGACACAGACAGAGCAATAAGTATTCTGTATACATTATGCCTAGTACAGTAGAGCTCGAATGGAAGTAGCCTAGGTAAGAAATATCGAATGGGAGCTGAAAATTGTTGGCTTAGCCCACCTTCCCAAATCACATTCACAAGGCATATGCCTATAATTTGACCCTGTTATAGCTTTAAACAGGTGGATATGAACTCAATGAGATAGCCATGTGGAAATCATTAGTAAATGCTCTCTCTATGCCAATGAATATAGCTGTAGGCTATCAATAGCCTACGCGACACAGTAACAGAGGAGTATCCTCAAGAGTGGCGTAACGCCCGTGATGACGAGGCTACATCAACTATTGACACATTGTATCAATGACAGGCAACATCCATTTGACAGGAGAGAGGATGGAACAGCGGCCCGGTCCTTCTTCCCCTGCCTCTTCGACATTGCCATCGGTTTGGCCGGGCAGGGATTTGATCTGTAGTTAAGCCTACCTTCACGAATAAATATTTTAGTTTAGCTGGCTGGCCTATGTCCTCAAATTGCTCCCCATCACATTCAGCGCACATCCCGACCAACCCCGCATAGTTCGGCAAAGGAATAGCCTAGCCTAGGAAATACCGGGGTCTTGTAGGATAGAAACCCCATAACCTTATCCATAATAAATGAGGTCATTTGATTCATTTTCGGTCATCGGTGAACACCTGTGCGAGCAGGGGAATTAATTAATAAATGCACACTCAAAAACACAGGCGATGCAGTCTTGCTTTCTCACCCTCTGTCCCACCCGAGACTACTGTCTTTGCCGCTTATCCATTCCGAAGCGAAGCGGTGTTTATGGTGGTTGTATCCGAGTAGTTTGAGGTCACGTCTTCGGTATTTTGTTACGCGGTGTGCGTGTTTGTATCCGTGCGGTCTTTCTCTACCGCACGCCGAGCTGCTATCTTTCTCTAACCCAACCCCCAAATTCCTCTGCTTCCGGGATGGCAGACTGGATAAAGGCTGCTTCTGTGAAAGCACGGGCCAGTCAACTATTAGGATCACATTACATTTGGAAGTATTTTTGTTTTATTAGCAAAAGCAAATTATCCTCATCAACACATCAAAATGAGACATCTATGTAAGGCTAACCTTTTATCATAGTATGACGTTTTAGAGGTCAATGCCGAAAGCTTCACTGCAGTTGGCTGATCCCGAACTCACATGAGCATCATCAGGACCAGTGGAGCTGGAGTCGGAGCATCATGACGCGGATATGATATGTCCCGCTGGAACTCTTATTTATGGCAGGTTAAACCACTAGCAGCAAGGATAATGAGCAATCATTTAAACAATAAATAGCACATCTCAAAATGACTATTTCAAGACAAAGTATTTCGAGACCAATATTTTAAACAATAATTGATAACATAAGCTAGCATAACCCTACTACAGGTATGATATTTTGTGCAATTCATAATTGTTTACGATATGCAATTGTACACTTGTATTGAGCTTAACTGCACTGAGTTATAAGGCAGATGTTCACCAGATGGGAAGACTATGAAGTATATGAAGAAAGAGATAATTGACTGCACATTCAAACAGTGGTGACAGCTCACTAATAAGAGAACATGAGAAACAATGCTTAGCTTAGGAGAAACAAACCCAGAGCTATCTATTGCCTTTAATGGTAACAATATGGCAATATCACTAGAAGTAATTTGATAAGACTTAACACAGATCCTACCATCATACTGGAAGAGTACAGAATCGGCATATTCTGATCAATTTTAGATGTTAATTAATAAAAACATTTGTGTAGAGCCACTGCTAACTGTTATCATCAGGACAATCAATCAAACGCTATTTATAGAGAACATTTCTTACAGGGGATGCATTTCAAAAGTGCTTAACAAATAAAATAATAAAGGTTAGAAAGATTTACAATAAAACTTTTCTCAGAGAGACAAATTAAAATAGTAAAACAATAATACATTTCGGCCCAGTGTTCTAGAATGACCCCAATTCTCAATCTCTCACGACTGTCTCAGCATCTCACCTGAGACAATGTCATGTAATCACTCATCTGCAACAACAAGGAAATTGAGAAATATCTGATTGAGCTTTTGAAAAATGTATCATCGCCAATAACCCACACAGTTCACTCTGGTACTATTCACAGATTTTATTAAAAATACAGTTGAATATAAAAGCAATAAAAACCATGATTTCCAAAAATACTTCAGTGTAGTCCGTCCATTCATAAAACCCAGAAGTCTATTAGCGCAATTGCTTACACAGGGTAGCAGTGATGAAGGGGCAACTTTGGGTGGAGGTTCTTGTCAGAGATTTGCTAGGTCAGGAGTGCCAGAAGAACCTGAGAGGCTGTCTACTGGGTCACAGAGTCCATTGAGTCATTATGAGGTTCACTGAGTCACACGGTTCATAAGGCTCACTGGGTCATGAGGTCCACTGGACTTCAAACACCTCTGACATGGGCAGGGCCAGGCTGGTCACTGTCAGAACCTACAGACAGACAGACAGGATTATAAACAATATATATTATACTGTAGATTTCAATAGAATAAACAGGTAGGCAAGCAGAATTAGAATGTCTGTTCTACTATTTCTTAATTCTAAACTCTATAGAGGTAACTCAGCCAGCTACAGCTCACCTTGGTGTCAGTCCGATAAGAGAAATCCCTCACTTTCTTTCCGTTGGCCCATACATAGCGGGGTGGGGAGGGCACCCCGAACACCCGAACCCCTCCCAGCACCAGCCCGTCCAGGGCCCCGTTCTGATGCAGGGGGTCACTCACCACCTGGGACTGGATCAAATGAAAAACCGTATTGATCCCTACTGGCAAACACACACATGTACAGTGCATTCGGAAAGTATACAGACCCCTTGACTTTTTCCACATTTTGTTACGATACAGCCTTATTCAAAAATTGATTAAATTGTTTTTTTTTCCCTCCTCATCAATCTACACACAATACCCCTTAATGACAAAGCAAAAACAGTTTTCTTGAAACTTTTGCAAATTTATAAAAAAATCAAAAACAGAAATATCACATTTACATACGTTTTCAGACCCTTTACTCAGTACTTTGTTGAAGCACCTTTGGCCGCGATTACAGCCTCGAGTCTTCTTGGGTATGACGCTACAAGGTTGGTACACCTGTATTTGGGGAGTTTCTCCCATTCTTCTCTGCAGATCCTCTCAAGCTCTGTCAGGTTGGATGGGGAGCGTTGCTGCACAGCTATTTTCAGGTCTCTCCAGAGATGTTTGATCGGGTTCAAGCCCAGGCTCTGGCTGGGCCACTCAAGGACATTCAGAGACTTGTCCAGAAGCAACTCCAGCGTTGTCTTGGCTGTGTGCTTAGGGTCGTTGTCCTGTTGGAAGGTGAACCTTCGCCCCAGTCTGAGGTCCTGAGTGCTCTGGAGCAGGTTTTCAAATCAAATCACATTTTATTGGCCACATGCGCCGAATACAACAGGTGCAGACATTACAGTGAAATGCTTACTTACAGCCCTTAACCAACAGTGCATTTTTTTTTTTTAAGTTAAATAAAACAACAACAAAAAAGTGTTGAGAAAAAAAGAGCAGAAGTAAAATAAAATAACAGTAGGGAGGCTATATATACAGGGGGGTACCGGTGCAGAGTCAATGTGCGGGGGCACCGGCTAGTTGAGGTAGTTGAAGTAATATGTACATGTGGGTAGAGTTAAAGTGACTATGCATAAATAATTAACAGAGTAGCAGCAGCGTAAAAAGATGGGGTGTTAAATGACGTTAATGTGCCCTTGAGCAAGGCACTTAACCCTAATTGCTCCTGTAAGTCGCTCTGGATAAGAGCGTCTGCTAAATGACTAAAATGTAATGTAAAAATGGGTGGGGGGTGGGGGTGGGGGGGCAGTGCAAATAGTCCGGGTAGCCATGATTAGCTGTTCAGGAGTCTTATGGCTTGGGGGTAGAAGCTGTTGAGAAGTCTTTTGGACCTAGACTTGGCACTCCGGTACCACTTGCCGTGCGGTAGCAGAGAGAACAGTCTATGACTAGGGTGGCTGGAGTCTTTGACAATTTTGAGGGCCTTCCTCTGACACCGCCTGGTATAGAGGTCCTGGATGGCAGGAAGCTTGGCCCCAGTGATGTACTGGGCCATGCGCACTACCCTCTGTAGTGCCTTGCGGTCGGAGGCCAAGCAGTTGCCATACCAGGCGGTGATGCAACCAGTCAGAATGCTCTCGATGGTGCAGCTGTATAATTTTTTGAGGATCTGAGGACCCATGCCAAATATTTTCAGTCTCCTGAGGGGGAATAGGCTTTGTCGTGCCCTCTTCACGACTGTCTTGGTGTGTTTGGACCATGATAGTTCGTTGGTGATGTGGACACCAAGGAACTTGAAGCTCTCAACCTGTTCCACTACAGCCCCGTCGATGAGAATGGGGGCGTGCTCAGTCCTCTTTTTTTTCCTGTAGTCCACCATCATCTCCTTTGTCTTGGTCACGTTGAGGGAGAGGTTGTTATCCTGGCATCACACGGCCAGGTCTCTGACCTCCTCCCTATAGGCTGTCTCATCGTTGTCGGTGATCAGGCCTACCACTGTTGTGTCGTCGGCAAACTTAATGATGGTGTTGGGAGTCGTGCCTGGCCATGCAGTCATGGGTGAACAGGGAGTACAGGAGGGGAATGAGCACGCACCCCTGAGGGGCCCCTGTGTTGAGGATCAGTGTGGCAGATGTGTTGTTACCTACCCTTACCACCTGGGGGCGGCCCGTCAGGAAGTCCAGGATCCAGTTGCAGAGGGAGGTGCGCCCTGCGGCCTTGTGAATGTTGACCTGCTTAAAAGTCTTACTCACATCGGCTACGGAGAGCGTGATCACATAGTCATCCGGAACAACTGGTGCTCTCATGCATGCTTCAGTGTTGCTTGCCTCGAAGTGAGCATAGAAGTGGTTTAGCTCGTCTGGAAGTCTTGTGTCACTGGGCAGCTCGCGGCTGTGCTTCCCTTTGTAGTCTGTAATAGTTTTCAAGCCCTGCCACATCCGACGAGCGTCAGAGCCGGTGTAGTACGATTCAATCTTAGTCCTGTATTGACTCTTTGCCTGTTTGATGGTTCGTCGGAGGGCATAGCAAGATTTCTTATAAGCTTCCGGGTTAGAGTCCCGCTCCTTGAAAGCGGCAGCTCTACCCTTTAGCTCAGTGCGGATGTTTCCTGTAATCCATGGCTTCTGGTTGGGGTATGTACGTACGGTCACTGTGGGGACGACATCATCAATGCACTTATTGATGAAGCCAGTGACTGATGTGGTGTACTCCTCAATGCTATCTGAAGAATCCCGGAACATGTTCCAGTCTGTGCTAGCAAAACAGTCCTGTAGCTTAGCATCTGCGTCATCTGACCACTTCTTTTATTAACCGAGTCACTGGTGCTTCCCGCTTTAGTTTTTGCTTATAAGCAGGAATCAGGATGATAGAGTTATGGTCAGATTTGCCAAATGGAGGGCGAGGGAGAGCTTTGTATGCGTCTCTGTGTGTGGAGTAAAAGCGTTTTCCTGTTGACTTATGGCCTTATACAGCTCATTCAGTGCAATTTTAATGGCAGCATTGGTATGTGGTGGTAAATAGACAGCTATGAAAAATATAGATGAAAACTCTCTTGGTAAATAGTGTGGTCTACAGCTTATCATAAGATACTCTACCTCAGGCGAGCAAAACCTCGAGACTTCCTTAGTATTTGATTTTGTGCACCAGCTGTTGTTTACAAATATACACAGACCGCCACCCCTTGTTTTACCGGAGTCAGCCGTTCTATCCTGCCGAAGTAGCGTATAGCCCGCTAGCTGTATGTTGTCCATGTCGTCGTTCAGCCACAACTAGGTGAAACATAAGATATTACAGTTTTTAATGTCCCGTTGGTAGGATAACCATAATCTTAGGTCATCTCAAATGATTGAAGATTGGCTAATAGGATTGATGGGAGAGGCAGTTTACTCGCTCGCCGTCGGATCCTTACAAGGCACCCCGACCTACGTCCACGATATCTCCGTCTCTTCCTCATGCGAATGACGGGGATTTGGGCCTTGTCGGGTGTCTGTAGGATATCCTTCGCGGCTGCCTCGTTGTAGAAAAAATCTTTGTCCAATACGAGGTGAGTAATCGCTGTCCTGATATCCAGAAGCTCTTTTTGGTTATAAGAGACGATGGCAGAAACATTATGTACAAAATAAATTACAATTAACGCGGAAAAACACACATAATAGTACAATTGGTTAGAGGGCTGTAAAACGGCAGACATCTTCTCCGGCGCCATTTCATCAAGGATCTCTCTGTACTTTGCTCCGTTCATCTTTCCCTCGATCCCGACTAGTCTCCCAGTCCCTGCCGCTGAAAAACATCCCCACTGCATGATGCTGCCACCACCATGCTTCACCATAGGGATGGTGCCAGGTTTCCTCCAGACATGACACTTGGCATTCAGACCAAATAATTCAATCTTGGTTTCATCAGACCAGAGAATCTTGTTTCTCATGGTCTGAGAGTCGTTAGGTGCCTTTTGGCAAACTCCAACCGGGCTGTCATGTGCCTTTTACTGAGGAGTGGCTTCCGTCTGGCCACTCTACTATAAAGGCCTGATTTGTGGAGTGCTGCAGAGATGGTTGTCCTTCTGGAAGTTTCTCCCATCTCCACAGAGGAACTCTAGAGCTCTGGCAGAGTGACCATCGGGTTCTTGGTCACCTCCCTGACCAAGGCCCTTCTCCCCCGATTGCTCAGTTTGGCCGGGTGGCCAGCTCTAGGAAGAGTCTTGGTGGTTCCAAACTTCTTCTATTTAAGAATGATGGAGGCCACTGTATTCTTGGGGACCTTCAATGCTGCAGACATTTTTTGGTACCCTTCCCCAGATCTGTGCCTCGACACAATCCTGTCTTGGAGCTCTACGGACAATTCCTTCGACCTCATGGCTTGGTTTTTGCTCTGACATTCACTGTCAACTCTGGGACCTTATATAGACAGGTGTGTGCCTTTCCAAATCATGTCCAATCAATTGAATTTACCACAGGTGGACTCTAATTAAGTTGTAGAAACATCTCAAGGATGATCAATGGAAACAGGACGCACCTGAGCTCAACTTCGAGTCTCATAGCAAAGGGTCTGAATACTTATGTAAATAAGGTATTTCTGTTTTTTATTTTTAATAAATTAGCAGAAATATCTAAAAACCTGTTTTCGCTTCGTCATTATGGGGTATTGTGTGTAGATTGCTGCAGATGTTTTTTTATTTCATCCATTTTAGAATAAGGCTGTAATGTAACAAAATGTGGAAAAGGTCAAAGGGTTTGAATACTTTCCGAAGGCACTGTATAGTACCAGTATACATCAGACATTAACAGTTAGGCCTACTGTTCACAGGATGACAGGGGAAGAGTACATCTTCAATTTTGATTGGATTGGATCTGGATGTAAATCTTGCGAGCATTGCTAGAAACATACTGTACTGCAGAAACCAGAAGCCAAATCACCCTAGATAATTCCCTGATCTCCATTTAGGGCCCTACATTTTTCCTACCCAGATGGACCGAGAGAATGAAAAACAGCTTCTATCTCAAGGCCATCAGACTGTTAAATAGCCATCACTAGCACATTAGAGGCTGCTGCTGCCTATTGAAATCACTGGCCACTTTAAGAAGTGGAACACTAGTCACTTTAATAATGTTTACATATCTTGCACTACTCATCTCATATGTATATACTGCATTCTATTCTATAATATACTACTGTATCTTAGTCCATGCCGCTCTGTCATTGCTTGCCCATATATGTATATTTTCTTAAATTCCATTCCTTACTAGTTTTGTGTGTATTAGGTATATGTTGGGAAATTGTTAACATTTACATTTTAGTCATTTAGCAGACGCTCTTATTCAGAGCGACTTACAGTTCGATATTACTTGTTAGATATTACTGCACTGTCAGAGCTAGAAGCACAAGCATTTCGCTACACCCGCTATAACATCTGCTAAACACGTGTATGTGACAAATACAATTTGATTTGATGTCATGAAGTACCTTGAAGTAGGACACACAAAAGGTGTGATGGGTCCGCACTCAAAAAGATGTCGCATAAAGCTTACTTCATTTTTCTTATTTTCACTACATCAGGGTTGTGTGATCAGGAAAAACTCAGGACCCTATGCGACCTCTACATCTCCTACCTGTCCTGCGATGAAGATAACATAGGAGTAGTCTCCTCTCTGGAAGGTGTCCAGACTGTCCCCGTCGTCCCAGAACAGGTCACCCCAGGCCCAGCCCCCAGCAGACAGCGCCACCGTCAGGAGGAAAGGGTTACTGCGAGAAGCTGAGGTGGTCAGGGCTGGCTCCTGTATCTCAGTTAGAAGGTATTTTGAGGGTATTTTTCATTGAAATATATAATATAATTACTGATTAAGACAGGCAACAGGCTTTACACAGAAACCTGACACAAGCTCCAAAAGATCATAGTCAGATTAGTACGCAGAGAGTATTTCATTTTAGGTTTTATCACACAGTTTCACAAAGGAATTCTGTGTCTCTTGTTCTATGACAAATAACTTTAATTGATTTCATGATATGAGAGTTTGGCAGCTCATTCATCTCCTCCACCATCAGTGTGTAACAACAACAGTATGGGCCTAAGATGAAGCTTTGTCACACAATGAAACAACAGCCAACCAAACTCTATTGTGTACAGAGGACACACACACCTGCTGTGGGATGATGTGTCCCTCTCTCACATGGACGTTGATGGTGTCCAGAGGGGCTGGGAGGAGCAGGTACTGACCCTTACTGTAGAACGGCTGGCCCTAGGGAGGGAGGGATGAAAAGAGAGAGAGAGAGCGAGAGAGAGAGATGCCCATTGGAATATGGTTATAGTAGACACAGTACTACAGTATTACACATCTTTGCCTGGTCCTAACGTAAGCCTACAAGACTCTAAGAAAGGCTCACATATTTTTTTATCGGTTTATGTCTGTTAGCGACAGAAAATATGGGCTAGGTCTCCTAGGAATCCCTTTAAGCAGTTGTGAACGAATAGCAGTGACAGTATGAAAGGCCTATACAAATACACTGAGTGTACAAAACATTAGGAACACCTGCTCTTTCCATGCCATAGACTTAAATATTTAAGTGCCTTTGAACGGGGTATGGTAGTAGGTTCCAGGCGCACCAGGTTGTGTCAAGAACTGCAACGCTGCTGGGCTTTCAACAGTTTCCTGTGTGTATCAAGAATGGTCCACCACCCAAAGGACATCCAGCCAACTTGACATAACTGTGGGAAGCATTGGAGTCAACATGGGCAAGCATCCCTGTGGAACACTTTTGACACCTTGTAGGAGACGAATTGAGGCTGTTCTGAGGGCAAAAGGGTGAAGTGCAACTCAATATTAGGAAGTTGTTCGTAATGTTTTGTACACTTAGTGTATAACTGTATTGAATGGAGGAGCTGTTTACATTGTGCAGACTGTACCAAGTCCCCGGGGGTTGGTAGGCAGCCAGCTCCACTGCCCCCTGCTCTAACACCGGGCTGACGAGCAGAGAACTTACCCACAGGAACTGTCTGTCAATGGTGTGGCAGTTAGGGTCCGAGGGGAACCTGGGAGAGATGGACAGAGAGGGAGGGAGGGGCAGAAAACAGTTTCAACATAGTAAATAAGAGTGTAAATAAGAGTGTTACAATAGTGTCCAAATATTGGAGAGAGAGAGAGAGAGAGAGAGAGAGAGAGGAGAAGGGAAGATTGGAGTGGACAATGGCAATTGAGAGGAGAAGAGAGGAGGAGTAGAGGGACGTACTGGAGGAAGAGAGGCGTGGCCACAGTGTCTGCGGAGGTGTGTGCGTGGTAGAAGAGTGTGTAGAGGAACGGCAGGAGAGAGTAACGCAACGTCACCGCGCTACGCATAGCCGCCTGGGCCTCCTGCCCAAACACATAGGGCTCCTGGGGCTACACACACACAGAGCTAGAGATACCTCCATTCATAATACATGAGACCCATGGACTGTTACATAGAGACAGTGAAAAGACATTAGCAGTTCAGGAAAACATTGTGGTATATTCCTATCCAACTAAGTTAACTGTAAAGACCATACAACCTGGCTTGCGTGCCACCACCCACCCACACAATGATAGCACAACTCACAGCATTGGGCTTGTCGTTGTGGTTCCTCATGAAGGGGTAGAAGGCTCCAAGCTGGGTCCAGCGTACACACACCTCCTCTGTGGTGTCCCCCCCCGAACCCACACACATCCGCCCCCGCCAGGGGCACCCTGAACAGGCCAAACAGCAGCACCGCTGGGGGGGTGGAGGGACGGACGGATATTGGCCATATACATTCACTTTATTCATTATTTAACTTTGATGTCAGGCAGTCAGAGGCATCTCTCTGTACTTGCTAGCTACATCCAGTCAAATAAAAAGTAGGCGGTTCCATTACAAGTCTGAGAGAGAGAGAGTCTATTCAAACCCCTCATTCAAGTCCATAGTTAACTACCACTGAAAAGGCTCCAACTTTCAACTGAGGACAATAGAGGAGACAACAAACTGCTGAGTAAGAGCACACTGCAACGTGTACTGTCTGGATGGTGCATCGGTACCATTAGTCCTCTGATGGCTAAAACACACATTCAGGGCTTGTGAATGGCTTTGGGAATCTGGTTGAGAATGGAAATGGCTTGTAATGGAGATGGAAATGTTGGGATGTCTTTCCCCTCACCAGGGATGGAGTATCTGAGCTGCTCCCAGTCGCTCCTCACATCTCCCGTCCAGACTCCGGAGAAACGGCCGATGCCAGGGAAGGAGGAGCGGGACAGCATGAAGGGTCGCGACCCCCGGTCCTTCACCAGGGCACTGAGAGGGTCAAAGGCCAAAGATGGGAGGTCATGTCATACAGTCTTAACCCAAGGTACAACATAGTTTCAACATTGATTCGAAACTTCTGCTATAATTGATCTTCCAACTACAGTTACAAAGGTGGCAAATTTGTAATCTAGACAAGGTAAATTAAATTAAAACAACCTGAAGTAAATGTGACAACATAGTTTTAGGATAAGTTGTGACACTGATCCCAGTAGTGCTGTGTCTGACCTGTGGGTGGCGCTAGCCTCCGTCAGCCCATAGAGGTTATGCAGGTTGTAGTGAGTGGACAGGTTCTGTTGAGCTGACATGCAGAGAGTACCAGTGTTCAGCTGTCCTCCAACCAACCCTGTATGTGTGTGTATGGAGACAGAATTCATGAAAATGAATGATTGAATTCACTAAATTCCTCAATTTATTTTATATTGACAGGAAACTATTCAGCTGCAGTATACTCACGTGGCACGTAAAGGGGGCTCTCCAAATCACTGTCAGGACACCCCTCCATAGAGCCCTGCACAAAACTGTCTGGTTCATTTATATCCTGAGAACAGAGCGACGAGAGAAAGAGTGTGCTGGATGCTGAGTAGCATTGACACAGCCTGGATGATGCAAGCTTGTTAGTGCAAATATAGAATAGAATAGGGGATGATTTCAGCCCTCTACAAGACATTTCTATCTGCGACACTCACAATCCACAGGCCATCCAGGGGGACTCTGGAGTGGAACTCCCGAATGCAGTCCTCCACAGGCCATTCAGGGGGACTCTGGAGTGGAACTCCCGGATGCAGTCCTCCCACCAGCTCTGTGTCTCTGGGTTGGTGAAGTCAGGGAACGCTGTCGGACCAGGCCACACCTGGACACAGAGGAAGAAGATTGAGGAACCGAACATGCACATCTTTCCACACAACACACACGCCTGCATGCACACACACACACACACAGCTTCAAGAGGAAGTTTTGTTTAGAGTAACCTTGCTTTTCAGCGGACACATTACTTGAATACACAATGGACATACACAATGTTTTCAAGCCGATCAAAAATATGTTATTTCCCAACTATTCAGAGTATATGTAGCCCAGTTTACACTGGGTCTCGAAATAGAGGAGAAGTGAGAGTTTTAGGTCTGACCTTCCCTATGAGTGTCTGTCCTGTAGAGTTCCTGATGAAGACCCCTCTCCGCTGACCCTCATCAAAGGGTGGGTAAGTACCAGGGGGGCTGGTGCTGCTGATCCCAGGGTCCTGGGAAAATACAATTACAGTAATGCTTTTGCTGCCATCTTGTGGATTGAGAAGGAAGGTTCCTTAACTGGCTCCCTTCTATCAGGGTTAGACATTTTAGATGTACCTTCCAATATTGCACTCATTCAACAATTTAATCACAATGCAGATTGTTATTTAGAATAAAAAATTACATTGAAGTACTATTTCAATCTAATATTAGTGTGCCTATGTGTCCCAAATGTTGTGAGGGTTGAGGCCTCTCTCTTACCAGGATGAGAATGTACTTCATGCCCTTCTGATGGAACTCCTTCACCATGTCTGGCAGGTCCACGAAGCGCTGGGGGTCAAAGGTGAACACCCGACGCTTGTCTGCGTAATCCAGGTCATTCCACTGCACGTCCTGACCAAAAACAAAAGCAGTTGAACTAAAGAATGCAGTGAATGTTCTCCAAGAATTGTGAACCCTCAGTGGTATGATAATACTGTACTTGAGAACGCAAACATCCAATTAGCATTAGAATGGAGAAAACCCATTGTAGCATGATAATGCTAACAATTCAATGTTAGCATTATCCAATAGCTGTCAACCCAAGTGATAATACTGTACTGCAATATAAGTGTTTCCACCAGCATCTTTACCAAGGGAAAGTTGGCATTGTGCATGCGTCGCACCACCTCTCGGGTTGCGTTGGTGGACCGGTATCCCCAGCGACACAGGTGGAACCCCAGTGACCAATAAGGAGGCATCATAGGGTACCCTGGGGGAAGACGACGGGGTAGACATTAGCTACAGTGGGGGGAAAAAGTATTTAGTCAGGCACCAATTGTGCAAGTTCTCCCACTTAAAAAGATGAGAGAGGCCTGTAATTTTCATCATAGGTACACGTCAACTATGACAGACAAATTGAGAAAAAAAATTCCAGAAAATCACATTGTAGGATTTTTTTTGAATATATTTGTAAATGATGGTGGAAAATAACTATTTGGTCACCTACAAACAAGCAAGATTTCTGGCTCTCACAGACCTGTAACTTCTTCTTTAAGAGGCTCCTCTGTCCTCCACTCGTTACCTGTATTAATGGCACCTGTTTGAACTTGTTATCAGTATAAAAGACACCTGTCCACAACCTCAAACAGTCACACTCCAAACTCCACTATGGCCAAGACCAAAGAGCTGTCAAAGGACACCAGAAACAAAATTGTAGACCTGCACCAGGCTGGGAAGACTGAATCTGCAATAGGTAAGCAGCTTGGTTTGAAGAAATCAACTGTGGGAGCAATTACTAGGAAATGGAAGACATACAAGACCACTGATAATCTCCCGCGATCTGGGGCTCCACGCAAGATCTCACCCCGTGCAGATCTCCTCTAGAGCAGTGATGTTTTGGGGCTGTCGCTGGGCAACACGGACTTTCAACTCCCTCCAAAGATTTTCTATGGGGTTGAGATCTGGAGACTGGCTAGGCCACTACAGGACCTTGAAATGCTTCTTACGAAGCCACTCCTTCGTTGCCCGGGCGGTGTGTTTGGGATCATTGTCATGCTGAAAGACCCAGCCACGTTTCATCTTCAATGCCCTTGCTGATGGAAGGAGGTTTTCACTCAAAATCTCACGATACATGGCCCCATTCATTCTTTCCTTTACACGGATCAGTCGTCCTGGTCCCTTTGCAGAAAAACAGCCCCAAAGCATGATGTTTCCACCCCCATGCTTCACAGTAGGTATGGTGTTCTTTGGATGCAACTCAGCATTCTTTGTCCTCCAAACACGACGAATTGAGTTTTTACCAAAAGGTTCTATTTTGGTTTCATCTGACCATATGACATTCTCCCAATCCTCTTCTGGATCATCCAAATGCACTCTAGCAAACTTCAGACGGGCCTGGACATGTACTGGCTTAAGCAGGGGGACACGTCTGGCACTGCAGGATTTGAGTCCCTGGCGGCGTAGTGTGTTACTGATGGTAGGCTTTGTTACTTTGGTCCCAGCTCTCTGCAGGTCATTCACTAGGTCCCCCCATGTGGTTCTGGGATTTTTGCTCACCGTTCTTGTGATCATTTTGACCCCACAGGGTGAGATCTTGCGTGGAGCCCCAGATCGAGGGAGATTATCAGTGGTCTTGTATGTCTTCCATTTCCTAATAATTGCTCCCACAATTGATTTCTTCAAACCAAGCTGCTTACCTATTGTAGATTCAGTCTTCCCAGCCTGGTGCAGGTCTACAATTTTGTTTCTGGTGTCCTTTGACAGCTCTTTGGTCTTGGCCATAGTGGAGTTTGGAGTGTGACTGTTTGAGGTTGTGGACAGGTGTCTTTTATACTGATAACAAGTTCAAACAGGTGCCATTAATACAGGTAACGAGTGGAGGACAGAGGAGCCTCTTAAAAAAGAAGTTACAGGTCTGTGAGAGCCAGAAATCTTGCTTGTTTGTAGGTGACCAAATACTTATTTTCCACCATAATTTGCAAATAAATTCATAAAAAATCCTACAATGTGATTTTCTGGATTTTTTTTTCTCAATTTGTCTGTCATATTTGATGACAGACAAATGG